GGCTTTCGACCCTCGCACTAATGCACATACATTATCAAGTTAAAATTGTTTTGGATGAAGAGGTAAATCTGTTTGCCACCAAATACCCATGGAGGCTGGAGCTCGGAACTATTCTGAGGGATTAGTTCCGCAGTATTTTGATGTATCATTTTACGTCGTAAAATTACTCCTTTATAACTTAATTCAAACAGTTGTATTCGACAAATGTAATATTCAGTTCCTACCGTGTACTTTGCCGTTACAATTTCTCATGTATTGCTACTTTCCTAAATAAACGGATGAGACCACAGGTAACCCAGGCTCTGTGACAGTACCACAGTACGGTTCCAATAAAATTACAGTGTTTGTATGGGGTAAAAATAACATCCTAAAGTTTCTAGGAAATACTAAATAAAGGTCAATGAAACTTACTCTGCAGTTAGTTGTTGTCCTTATTGCTCCAACGAAGTTTCGTGATAATTTGCCGTAATTTGTTCAAATTCACTCTATATACAATAATAATATACAAGGTAGGAGACACGCGATGCCATCTTCGCCGCCATGCCCTCATTCAACTGCAACTTTTTCCACGAAATTCGAACTCCAACAGACATAAAACATGCCAGGATCGTAGTAATAGGATAGCAGCAGATATAGAAACCAATGCAGCCTTCCCAGATAGAAAAACGAATCCCGCAGACTTTGACAAACTCGAAGGATGTAATCCAAAAAGGCCGAGAATATGCTCGCCGAAGTAACCGAACCAGATCAACGCGCGGCCAAGAAAATGAGGCCTGGGCACTGTACAAAAAAAATCAGTTAAAACTCCAAAATTCACTTTTGTCCAATAATTGTCCAGTCAAAACAAAACAGTCAGAGAGACACAAAAATTACAAGGAATGTTTACATGAATGAAAATCACATATGTACAATATCGTTACTCTAAAATGTACAATTTGTCAATTCGCGTACAGTGCTGAAGTTGTCGTTTAAAAGCTTCTTGTTGGAATATCGTACAATGGTAATTAGTCCCGCCTTTTTCCATATATTAACTAAAAAATTGTTTACAAATCCCTAGTCAAAAATCAATTAGCAAGATATTTACATTGCGAAAGCCTTTAAACAAAGATATCACTCGTTACAACTTTTAGCAAGTAAATTGAACTAGGCAGTAACAAAAGCTTGTTTATCACAACGAGTTAACTAAGATAGTCTGTTGGACAAGGTTTTCTTTTGGAAGCGCACTGAAGTTTCGATCAAACCGCTAAATACGCGAAAGATAGTAAAAATAGGAATGTCCAATGAAAAGACAACTTGGTAAGGTCAAGCTTCTGAAGATTTAGGAAAAACCAATTAAGCCAATTAATGTAAGATAACAAACAAATGTCGTTAAATTTACCAGAACTAATTAGATTAAGAACCTCTGTGTGGGCTCAGTTTAAACAAAAAGCATCATTTCTTAATTGAATAGCGGTACGTGCGTGTGCAAAGACAAACCGACGTCCAAAAGAGCATCTTTACCGAGAAAGGCCAAACCTTATTAACGAAAAACAAATAGCTTTTGTAAGCCCAGTACGTTCTAGAAGAACGTATTTATATAACAATTCAAAACACTCTACTTAGTGATAATAATAATTAAAATATTTTAAAATAGCAATGCTTGATGATTCATTAACGTTCCTTATTCGATAAAGGTATTTTCATTTTGGTATTAACTTATACCCAAAAATATNCAAAGGTCCGCATTTTGATACTCAATATCCAAGTTAAGGAGTGTAGTCGGTTAAACTGAAGTTTCAAACTTAACAGTGATATTTAAGGCGGCTGCATACATATAACAGGGCATGCATGGGCCAGAAGAGGCTTTCGACCCTCGCACTAATGCACATACATTATCAAGTTAAAATTGTTTTGGATGAAGAGGTAAATCTGTTTGCCACCAAATACCCATGGAGGCTGGAGCTCGGAACTATTCTGAGGGATTAGTTCCGCAGTATTTTGATGTATCATTTTACGTCGTAAAATTACTCCTTTATAACTTAATTCAAACAGTTGTATTCGACAAATGTAATATTCAGTTCCTACCGTGTACTTTGCCGTTACAATTTCTCATGTATTGCTACTTTCCTAAATAAACGGATGAGACCACAGGTAACCCAGGCTCTGTGACAGTACCACAGTACGGTTCCAATAAAATTACAGTGTTTGTATGGGGTAAAAATAACATCCTAAAGTTTCTAGGAAATACTAAATAAAGGTCAATGAAACTTACTCTGCAGTTAGTTGTTGTCCTTATTGCTCCAACGAAGTTTCGTGATAATTTGCCGTAATTTGTTCAAATTCACTCTATATACAATAATAATATACAAGGTAGGAGACACGCGATGCCATCTTCGCCGCCATGCCCTCATTCAACTGCAACTTTTTCCACGAAATTCGAACTCCAACAGACATAAAACATGCCAGGATCGTAGTAATAGGATAGCAGCAGATATAGAAACCAATGCAGCCTTCCCAGATAGAAAAACGAATCCCGCAGACTTTGACAAACTCGAAGGATGTAATCCAAAAAGGCCGAGAATATGCTCGCCGAAGTAACCGAACCAGATCAACGCGCGGCCAAGAAAATGAGGCCTGGGCACTGTACAAAAAAAATCAGTTAAAACTCCAAAATTCACTTTTGTCCAATAATTGTCCAGTCAAAACAAAACAGTCAGAGAGACACAAAAATTACAAGGAATGTTTACATGAATGAAAATCACATATGTACAATATCGTTACTCTAAAATGTACAATTTGTCAATTCGCGTACAGTGCTGAAGTTGTCGTTTAAAAGCTTCTTGTTGGAATATCGTACAATGGTAATTAGTCCCGCCTTTTTCCATATATTAACTAAAAAATTGTTTACAAATCCCTAGTCAAAAATCAATTAGCAAGATATTTACATTGCGAAAGCCTTTAAACAAAGATATCACTCGTTACAACTTTTAGCAAGTAAATTGAACTAGGCAGTAACAAAAGCTTGTTTATCACAACGAGTTAACTAAGATAGTCTGTTGGACAAGGTTTTCTTTTGGAAGCGCACTGAAGTTTCGATCAAACCGCTAAATACGCGAAAGATAGTAAAAATAGGAATGTCCAATGAAAAGACAACTTGGTAAGGTCAAGCTTCTGAAGATTTAGGAAAAACCAATTAAGCCAATTAATGTAAGATAACAAACAAATGTCGTTAAATTTACCAGAACTAATTAGATTAAGAACCTCTGTGTGGGCTCAGTTTAAACAAAAAGCATCATTTCTTAATTGAATAGCGGTACGTGCGTGTGCAAAGACAAACCGACGTCCAAAAGAGCATCTTTACCGAGAAAGGCCAAACCTTATTAACGAAAAACAAATAGCTTTTGTAAGCCCAGTACGTTCTAGAAGAACGTATTTATATAACAATTCAAAACACTCTACTTAGTGATAATAATAATTAAAATATTTTAAAATAGCAATGCTTGATGATTCATTAACGTTCCTTATTCGATAAGGGTATTTTCATTTTGGTATTAACTTATACCCAAAAATATGGTTTTACACAAGTGAATTAAATACTTCTGACAGTGACTTTAATTGCTGAATTATAAAGTTAAAGTGTCTGTCTGTTTTGTGACTTGATTTCATTTAGAGCAGGAGCCCATCCAGGAGCCCATCATGGGCTCCTGGTATCTAAGAAAGAGAAGCTTATCACCTTTTTCCGGTATTTCTATTTTCATCGTCAGTGTCCAAATCTCAGAGGATGGAACTTCCATTCATTTTCAATAAAAGTCCTGCATGTTCTGTCTTGAGAGACTTCAACGAGTACAGCTGCTGTTCTTTTTAAGTGTTATGCAACCAAGCAAGATTTGTTTAAGCTAGGGTACCGCATAGTTGGTACGCACAAGCAGCAGAATTTATCAAGTAATGTTCTCAAGGCACTGTACTTTGAGGATTGGCCCTCCTATCTCAGGTTGAACAATCGTAACGCCACAAGGACGCTACGGATCATCTAGTCACGTTATGTTGCAGGCCCATTAGAATCAGGGACCTTCCAAGACAGCACTGCCAGCGTTCTCGATGTGTTAACACACCCTATCATGATCAGCAACTCCACAGATTTTAGTTATTTCAAGAGTCACTTGACAAAGCACCTTAAAACTAAGGCGAGAGCGAGGCTGCTTTCTTAGTGTTTTTTGTTATTGTGTTTACCGGGAGCTTTGAAGTTTTTTGTTTTGTCATCATTTTATTGATCACGATAATTTTACTGAGGTTAGTTATAGTGTTGTGGTTAGCTTTAGGTGAACAGCCATATTTCTAGTTTATAGATCTCCTGTGAATAAACCAGTATTGTTATCGTTATTTCAAATTGAAAGGAGCTTTAATCAGAATATCAAGGCCCGTCCAGGATCAAAGTAGACAATTTCCCTTTTGTACACGTGTGGCGGGACAAAAAAACATTCTCAACGAAAAAAATTAAATGCTAATCAGTAATGGTGTATTTGAGAACCTTAAACATAGAGCTGCCTATTGCGTGAAGGTTAGTCTTATATAACGTCTATTTCAGTATTCAAGGAAGAAAGTCGTAACAAAATCAGGGCGAGATCGGGATTCGGACATAAAAACAGGCGGGAAAGCGGGGTTAAGAAGAAAAAATAGGCGGGAAGGCGGGATTTGAGAACCCCTATTGTGGAGAGCGCCGATTTCGAGTTTTTCAAACTTTGCCTGATTCCTGAAAAAATAAAAAACGTGATTTTTGAAATTGGTGTACTATAGAGATTATTTGGGCAAAATAAGAAGAAATTCAAAAATTCACGACTGTCAACTGATTTTCGACAATTACAGACATTGGCTCTTAAACGCAAATTTCCCTCCGTATATAAGCCCCTCCAAAAATAAGCCCCTCAAAAAGGGCCTTTGAAAAATAAAAGCTCCGGGGCTTATTTTCGGAATCTTGCAGTAGTTGACATCAGGATGCGACCCCTTCGTCTAAGAGGGCCTCAATGGGGTGGTGTCTTTTACGGTTATCGGCTAAATTGTCGAGGAGAAAAGCAGAAGTTCCTCTGTCGCTTATTTTTGGAGGTGAGTGCGGTATGCATACGGTTGAGATTTTAACAAAAAATGCCTTCTCCAGTTATGTTCTCAGGACGGCTTTGTTCCATGAGCTTGAAGCACTCTATTTGAAAGACAGCAACATCTCTACACACGAGTTGACTTTAAAAGCACTTGTATGTGGGATATTTACAAGACCCTCTCAAGCTGCAGGGGAACGCTTTTAACCTAGTTTCTTTGTACCAGGGCTCAATCTATTCCACACTTACAGGGAAAGCAGTACCACCGACCAAGTCAGGTATTTGATAGTACAGCTGTTGAATATAAGTCTGGAAGATGGTGGTAGAAAATTGGCTGTACAGAACAAAAGTTTTCCTGAGAAAAGGAACATTCATATCATGGCCAAGAGGCACAGGATTCCTTGCTGATTTTCTTAGCATTATGACATTCTAAACGTCGGCACCAGAATCTGCAGAATGGCAATCTGATCCCTCAAAGTGTTTTGGGTTGTCGATCATACGCTGATCTCGAGAGCGATTTGGGCAACTTACCAGTAGCTCCATGTACTGTCTGCACAGCATCTTGACAAATACCTGAAATACCTCCCTATCTGGGTAGAAAGCTGATGCTGATTATTTTATACTGTTTCAAAATTTGATTGTGAGCACTGTTGTTATATAACTTACATGATATCCTATAACTGGATACAGATATCTTAAACGACACTGAGATGAACAGTTGTTTTTTAGTATATTTTAAAACAGGGATATCTAGCATGAAAATGATGATTTTTTTACTCATTTATCAGGGGCAACCAACGAAAATATAGTTCAAAACCACTTAAACATAACATTGTTTAACGTATTATAGTATTTAAAACGGTAAATATAGGCATATTTTTATCCCCTAAAAATTTTTGATCTGTTCGGATTTCTTAGCTGAAAGTCTAGTGATTCGAAAATTATAAGGATCAAAACTTACCTTTTCGAAAATTTCAGTTAGAAAAAAGGCTCCCGAGAATTCTAGGTGACCTTTTTAGAGCAAACATCCATTAAAAATGGGCAATTATACCATTTTTCAGATGTTCGAAAATCCTAGGAGAGGGAAGCAAGCAGGAAATTTTACAACAACTGTTTCGAAAATTCTAGATCTCAAATAGTCTTCCGAACAGATATTAGTCCGAAAATTTACGTTGGGTGCCGCTGATTTCTTCCTGTCAACCATTACAATTTTTGAGTTTCAATTCTTCATTACAGTACATCAAAGTTTTCGTTTTCTTGAGCCACGAGTCACACAAAAATACATCTTCTTGAAATGTAAACTTGCAATGCAGGCCAATCCTGCTGCTCAGTTTATCTGCGCGCTTTCCTGTAATAACGCATCTAAGGACACTGCCTGTTAGAAAACGACTGTACCTCTATCCATGTTTACCTCAGAGGTCGTGATGTAAAAAGGTTGGCTTACACGCTACCAGATTTGTAAAGTATACTTGTAGCGAGCCACACACACACAAAAAAAAGGCCAAATTTTTCATTTTGGCCTTTCATTCAGACAGAGAGAGAAAACCGATAAGTTATAACGTGCAAATTGGCTGCCACCAAGGATTATCATGTCTTAACGGCCTGTGTAGCATAAAATTATATTTCGGGACTGTCCAATTACCCTTATAAAATATAGTTGGTGTAGGTAGCCAAGTAGGTTATTTTGCTTGGGAAGAATTTGTTTTCCACGCCTAATCTACTGTGGTCAAAGGTGATTCCTATTTATTGGGTGTACATAAAAGACTTTTGACTCGATGTAAGATTTTCCATGTTTCATTCTTGCACTATTTTCAAATTATTTTTTCTCTTAAATCACCCACCTCCACCCTTAAAAGTCATATTGATGTCCCCAGTTAATTGATTTGCGGATCACAAGGTTATTGTTTGATTTAAGTTATTCATTTATTAACTGGAGCTACGGTTTTTAGTCCTGACTAAATCTATATATTGCAATTGGCAGAAGTACGTATACGCTCGTGCAATAATTATGGAGTGGGTAAGGTTAACAATCTTTTTAACACAATAAAGAAAAAAGCGGCAACAGTACAACCATACTATGACCAAAATCGACCCAAATGTTAAAATACCACATCTTACATTTTAAATCAAGTGCCTTTATAATTTATGCCGCGGCAGGATTAGCTCAGTCGCTAGAGCGCTTGACTGCAGAGCGGGAGGTCGCGGGTTCGATTCCCGTGGCCGGACCAATACTCAGGGTCTTAAAATAACTGAGAAATGAAGGTACTCCCTTTGCCCTGCAGGCGGCTGGACCTTCGCGTGGCTCGGATGACCACGTAAAATGGCGGTCCCGTCTCTATTAGGAGACGAAAAATATAGTGTCCCCAATTAGCACTTTCGTGCTAAATACACTGACACTCAAATAAAGTGCATTTTAAATTTATTTTTTATTTTAATTTATTTTAATTTTAATTTAATTTAATTTAATTTTATTATTATTATTATTATTATTATTTCTTTTTATGCCAAGCAGGTGAAACAGCAATCCCAAGGAACTCTGGGTAATGTTTCAAGATGGAGGGCTGAGACGAGGTGCTAGGCTCTTGCGAGATCTTGTCAAACTCCCCCGCCCTGACCCCACCCCCAGGATATTGTGTTACGTCAAATCTTTAATCATTCCCCACCTGCAGGAAAGGAAATACAGTTAACCCCGGCCCGGCCCCCCTACCCTGGGGTTAACATTGACTGGTGCATAAATGAGCGAGCAATTCTTGCAAGAACCGCCTGGACAAACAGCAGTTAGGGAAAGCCGGATCTGGTGTAGATGAGGATCAGTAATATAGAATGACCCTCAAAATTGAAGGCAAGGCCGATTGAACTTTGCCCAATATTTCGACTTGACAAGTTTTGTCGAGTCGAAATAATGGGCAAATAAATTACCAATCCTTAGCTGTCTGAACAGCCTTGCCTTCAATGAGGGGGCTTTGGGGTCTATAAAAAACCGAACAACCGCTCTAAAAATTACTCAAAACCGAAAAACCGGCTCAATTGTCAAAAGCCTAGTCTAAATGTTAAACGTTAATGATATGTGGAACATAGGGACCAAACGGTAAATGTGAAGAACAGTTCCCCAAAAAATCTGTCGGCCGTCTGTCGGAAGACTTGGGGAGGTGTTCTTCAATTTTGCCGTCTAAACAATATCACATCATCAAGATTTTAATATCATCACAGTATCAGCACTATCTATGGATGTCGTAAAACCGGCATATCTGCCCTAGGTTTGTCTAGGAGAATTCACAAAGATACTCGATTGAATAGCAAGAGAGGACAATGGGGGAAATTTTGCGTTCACAAAAAGCTCTCCTATAACCGGGGGGGTTCTTCCTTATAAGAGGCTAATGGGGGTGTGCCGCTGGATGGGGGTCGCATTTTCACGACTGGATTGAATATAATGGGGTCGCATTTTCAATAGAGTTACCAGAATGGGGTTGCACATTTTCAGATTTTCTAGGGTAAGACAGTTCTTCATATTTACGGTTAGCAAACATACCAGAATGTTTGTACTGCAGATGAAAACTAAAATGTTCTTCAGTCAACCTTAAAAATGGGCCAATTCATAAAAATAGAAAGTGAATAAGTTGGGATCGCGAAAATTACATATTCGCCCAAAAGTGACTAAGATGGGGTATATAATTGGCCACAGAATAGACTATAATGGGGTAGAGGCTCTGAGAGGTCAGTGGCACATACCTAGCAAAAATTAACCTATGTAAGTACTCTCCCGGGCTCCTATAGCTGTAAACTTCAATCCCACATTGCAATTTGACCTGGATTGACTGTAAAATACAAACATATGATATAGCCTAACATCTGACTGCACAGAGACCCACAGAGGAATCTAATCTGCTTTATTTTTGCCAAAACACCGGAAGCTAAATAAAAAAAGCGAAAAACCGGAAACCGCAACGGACAACCGACAAAACCTAAAAACTGAAGTTTTTCAGCGCAAAAACCGAAAAACCGACCTATAAAGTGGCCAAAACCGAAAAACCGAAAATACCAACGCCCCTTTCTTCAATTTTAAGTGAAAAGCGTGAACTTTCTTTTATGCTACATAACCTTGTACGTCTAGTCTCCGACCAACCTCAAGCAGTCACACTTCCGCATACTATTGTACGCGAAAACGAGGCCTCGTTGTCGAAAGGATGTCGAAAGCAGTAATGGATGTATTACTAGCGTCAGAAATAGGCGATAGCAAGAAACTTGAACAGCTCTTGGCCGCTCAAAATCCAGGGGTCAACTATAGTAACGATTCCAAGGAAACTCCACTACTTCTTACCTGTAAATTCGACCATTTCAGTTGCTGTTCGCTTCTCCTTGAGGCAGGAGCGAGCGTCGATCAAAGCGATTGTGTTGGCAACAGCCCATTGCATTTTGCCAGAGATTATAACACAGTCGCACATTTGCTTGCGCTAGGAGCCGATCCAGCGGCGGAAAATGTGAAAGGACGAACACCTTTACACGAAGCTGCTCTTTGGGGAACTACTGAGGTATTTAAAGCTCTTCTTGAAGAGTTTATGAACAGGAAGCTCTCGGTCGACGTCTCGGACGACCATGGATTTACTCCCTTGCACCTTGCCGTGTTTTCTGAGGTCGAAGAAAGCATCTTAGAAAAGATAAGCCTACTTATTTCGGCAGGAGCTGAAGTAGATAAACGGAATCTCCATGGTTTCACTCCTATGAGGTTGGCTTGTATGAATTTTCTAAACTTAAAAGCAAGCAGTGTTTTACATTTAGTACGATGTGGAGCGAGCCCTCACGTTCTCGACGAATATGGCAATACTTGTTTGCATGTCATATTCAAGGGGAATCCTTATTTCTCGTATTATGGAAAAGATTCCCTAGAGGTGACGACGATTCTCGAAGAATTAGTAAAACTGGGATGTAATGTTAACCTCAAGAATAGAAATGGCCAAACTGCTGTGCACTATGCAGCGTACAGCGCACTTCCAGAGCAGGTGAAGACCCTTCTGGAGTGTGGTGCAGATCCATCGATTGCTGACCACATTGGAAGAACACCATTGCATAAAAGTATGTTTAACAGAGACTTTAAAGTTGCTGAGATTCTCTTGGAATATTCAAAGAGCCCTTGCATTGTTGATCACTTAGGAAGAATTCCTCTTCACTATGCTGCAACTTCTGGAAAGCCTGAAATTATCAGTACCATCATCCAAGCAATGTCACCGCCTCCACAAGGGGTTGAAAATTTCATAAACAAGCAAGACAATTTTGGGATGACTCCTCTTCATTGTTTCCTATTCCATAAAAGAACTGAAGAGTCAATTCTAAGTTGTCTTTTGCAACATGGAGCAGATGTAAAAATTGATTTTCCTTCTGGTGTGACTTGCATCGAAATGGCCAGGTACTCCAGGGATGTTAGCCAGGTCATTTTCCAGGAAGCCAACCCAGGAATGATTCATCCTTTACCATTACCTGAACTACCTGGCTCCCAAGAGAATTCCTTCTTAAAGGACTATCTTCAACCAATTTGCATTGTCAGTGATACAGACATTGACCCGGAAACTTTGAGGCCAACTCAAAATGTCCAAGAGTACCTTGATCAAATCTCCTCGTGGACCATTCCATCAGATGAGCAAATAAACCTTCAGAATTTCATAAACTCTTCGATTGAGAAGTTTGTTAGGCATCTATGTGATGAAATCGCCAGGATGGATCCTAGGTTTGCCTCCAATGTTCTGCCGAGTGGAAGCACCTATGAAGGGACAAAACCTGTAACAGAAACCTCGTTTCTGACAGACTTTGACTATATGATCTGTTTAGAAAGACTTAGCGAAGAAGTCATTGTTGAGGAAGTACCAGCAGTTGTTGGACACGTAAGGGTTGCGCACAAGCAATCAACAAACCATTCCAAATTTGAGGAATTTTTCTCTGATGGGTATCTTGTTGGAGACAGAGTTTCAAAGGCTTTTTGCGATCTCATGGTCCTAGTTATGAACCAACTTAAAATCTGGCAAGATGGTGATATGGAGTGCCCTTGCATCCCCCTTTTGCAAAGTACCACTAGATGTCCAAATATAAAGCTAAGTCTAGATTGGAAGAAAGATGTTATGTATGCAAGAAGTGTTAGTATTGATATAGTTCCAGCGATTCAGGTCAAATCTCTGTGGCCATCATTTGCAAGACAAGACAGCTCTATATTGACCCCCGATATTAGTGAATGTCATGTTGTACTCAAACAACCTGATGTTGGATTGGACAGCACAGAACATTTCGGGAATCCTGCTCATCTTCTAAGAGTGTCCTTTTCTGTTGCTGAACGAGAGATATTTCATAAGATGCCAGGTGTTGTCAAGAGAAGTTGTGTGGTTGCAAAGGTTCTGTCGAGGAGAAAAGCAAAAGTTCCACTGTCAATGATTTTTGGTGGTGAATGCGGTACACATAAGCTTGAGATTTTCACAAACCATTTGTTCTCCAGTTATGTTCTCAAGACGGCTTTGTTCCATGAGCTTGAAGCACTCTATTTGAATGACAGCAACATCTCTACACACAAGCTGACTTTAAAAACACTTGTATGTGGTATATTTACAAGACTCTCTCAAGCTGCAGGGGAACGCTTTTTACCTAGTTTCTTTGTACCAAGGTTCAACCTATTCCACACTTACAGGGAAGACAGTGGCACCGATACAATCAGGTACTTGGCATTACAGCTGTTGAACATAAGTCTGGAAGATGGTGGTAAAAAATTGGCTGTCCAGAACAAAAGTTTTCCTGAGAAAAGGAACAGTGATATCCTGGACAAGAGGCACAGGAAAAATTTTACCGTCCTGACAAAGCTTGGTACTAACTGGATAAACTGAAGTTTCACTGTAATCAACACATTTCGGAAAATAGCCAAAGGAGAATTCCTTGCAAATTTCTAAGACATTTAGTATTATGACAGTCTGTATGTTGATATTTTCCGGCACCAGAATGACAATCTAGTCTCTTGTAGTGTTTTTGGGTGTCGATCATGTGTTGATCTCAGGAGCGATTTGGGCAACTTAACAATACACTTGCAGTGGCTCCATATACTGTGTAGCATCTTGTGACCCATCAACATGTTAAGGGGATAAGTATTTCCCTATTTAAGGTACAAAGTTGATGCTGATTATTTTATACTGTTTCATAATTTAATTGTGAGCACTGTTCTAAATGTGTGGTTCCAGAAAATATCCATACCCCCCCCCCCCACGGAAGATCATTGGAAATTCCGAGGGGGAGGGGAGGTTCAAAGGCAGTAATTTCCAAGGGGTAAGGGGAAACTATTTTCCAAAGGGTGACGGACCACGTACAAAACATTGAAAGCAACGTTCGATCGATCTGAAGCACAAAAACATACCTACGTACGTTGTTTTGAAACAAAAGTCGGTACTCGTGGCCGCTGACAGTGCT